GGCGCCGTAGGACTGTCCCCTCGCACGCGAGCCCGCCCCCGCTCGCGGCCCCACCCCGTAGCGGACCGCCCGGGTAGGCCGCAGGGGGCGCCCGCGCACAGTCCCGCCCAGCCTGCCAGCGTCGTCCGGCGCTCCAGGGCTCTCCACCCGGTCTATGCGCGCGGGGCAGGGATCCTGCCGGGCGCCCCACTGGAACGCGTCTGTTGGGGTTGGGGGGTCGTGCCATGTATCCCTCGCGGCCCTGCGCGCACAGGTCCAGCCCCCTCCCCCTCCACCCCAGGGTCTGAGCGCGCCCGGGTGGAGGTCCAGCCCCGCGCCCCTTGCGACCTGCCGTGATCATTTGCTGCGGGTAGGGCCGCGCCCTGCTCAGCTGGGCACCCGCTGCTCCTCGCCGGAGCTCGGTGTCCTCTCCTGCCCCGTGCGCGCAGGCCCTGGGGAGCCCCACAGAAGCTGGTCGCTGTCCCCTCCCCCCGCAGCCATGTGCCCCTCGCACCCGGCGCGCGGACCGCTGACCGCAGTAACGTGGGGTCAGCGCGTCCCGCCCCTCCTGGTCCATGAAGTCACTGCGAGAATCAAAAAGGACTGAAGGGTTTTGTAAACTATAAAATATTAATTTAATACTTATCGACCCAGAACTTCCCTCCTGAGGGTCTACCTGGGGACAACGCAGCAGGCCCAGATGTGCGCCGGGTGAGGCCGGAGCGTTCGCGGGCGCCCCTCGTTAGGGACATGTGGGGCCCCACAGGGCGGTGCTCGCGCCAGGGGAGCGGAGATTCCCCCCCCACACACACACTTCTCGGCCACCCTCCAGGGGACTCTGACGGCAGGCCCCCACTAGCCTCCCCCGCGTCCTCATGTCTCTGCCCAACTTCCGGGAGGGCGCCCCCAGGCCCCGGCGCCACCACCCTCACTGGGGCCCGCCTAGGGGTAGCCCGACGCCCCCCCTCATGTCCAGTTCTCGCCGGGCCCGCGCTTGGTCAGTCAGCACCGCCACGGTCCGCATCCAGGCCGCCCAGTCCCGGTGCCCAGGGACCGCCGTCGGGTCTCCTGGCACGCACTGGCGCCCCCTACAGTCCATTCTCAGATCGATGGATCACGCCTGCCTGGGATCAAAATCTGGGTAAGGCCGGTCTTCCTGGCTGCCCTTGATCTTTCCTCCACCCTGGCCTCCTGGGTGTTCTCGGAACAGGACAAGCGGGCTGCCTCAGTGCCTTTGGAAGTGCTGACCCTGCCTGAAAGGATCTTCCCCAGCTACTCCACGCCCAGTCCCTGTCCCTGGTCCTCAGGGAGACGCCATTACACATCGAGGCTGTCCTTGTCGTCTCCTTGTGCTGTTGGTTTCTTCAGTGTTGATCTGCCTGAACCGAGCAGGCATGTGCTTACTGCTTGTCCGTGGAAGTCAGGCCAGGTCTGCACCCGGCAGGGCAGGCGTGCTGGGTGAGTAGCTGTTTTCACATTTTTTGACGTGCAAAGACACCGAGCTGTATTATTGTACTTTCTAGTTAAAACCAGCAGTTAGCTGTCGATCTCATTTTCTCAAAGAACATCATGCACAGAAAAGGTTTGGATGGATAACTCTGAGGTTCCAGGTGAACTTTAATTTCTTTTTATTTTTTAAAATGTGTTAATTCCTGAACATTTTTGCAAGAAGCATGTAATACTTTTCTTATCTGTCTGGTGGTAGGTGGGATCACCAAGCTGCAGCGAGGAGGTGAGTCTGCCCTGGGAAGGCTGGCTGGTTGGGGAGACCTGGGACCCTGGGCCCTAAAGTGTGGGAGGGGACCCCTGGCGGATACCCCTGGGGATCTGGGCTCTGCAGGCCCTCTGAACTCTTGGAGCTTTCTAGCTCGAGCTGGCACCTCCCTCAGTGTGAAGACAGCACCTCCATTTCCCAGGGAGCCCCTCCTAGCTTCAAGTCCTACCCCACCTGCCCCGTCCCACCAGGGAACCAGCTGGAATGCGATGCCTCCTTGCTGCTACTTCCCACGGCAGGAGCAAGGCCGGCGAGGCTGCCTAGCCCAGGGCACGAGAGAAAATGGAAGTGTCCACCCTTCTGGTGGCTTCTAACTGCATGTCCGGCACAGGCCTCGCCCCTCCAGACCCTCGGGCAGCCAGTAGGATGGTGCAGAAACAGGCCCCAGAGCCGACGCACCTACCACAGGATGAGTGTCTCCACCCCAGGTAGGGAGCTTCACAAGAGCCCTTCCCTCTGCCTGGAAGGCCTCCCTGCCATCAGCTGTCCTGCCTCCTCACTTTCTTCAGCTTAAAAGTCTCCTTCCAGCAGGGCCTCGGCTGGCCACCAACCCCTCATCACCTGACAGTTGGGTTTATTGCCTCCCCTCTCCACTGTGTCGTGTCTGTGGGGGAAGGAACTTATGTCCCCCTTGATCCCTGCTTTGGCCCCGGAGCCCAGAACAGCCTTGTGGGTACGGGGTGGGGGAGGAGGCAGGGCCATTTTTTCGACTATAGTTTATTCCCTTTCTTGTATGCTCCCCACAACAGCCCAGACTGCATAATGACTCATTCGCTCGTTTCTTTAATCTGTCATTGTCTTCCCAGATCCTCTAAAAGTTCTGTAAAATGTCTCTTCATGAACTTCCCACAAGGTTCAATAAGCTGGATAATCCATCAAACTCTTGAATTCCAGACCTTCCTCTTTCTAGGTTTAGTCACCTGATTTTGCTGGAGCACATCCTTCAGTAGTTTCCTAGTGAACGGACCACAGGAGGAAATTGTCCTGAACACTTAAGTCCACCTGTGATGCCAACTGATGGCTTGACCAAGGACAGAATTCAAGGTTGAAAATAATTTTCCTTCAACCTTTGAGGCATTGCTCCAAAGTCTCGGAGTCCAACGTGCTATTGAGAAGCCAGTGCTGTTCTTCCTCCTGAGCCTCCTGTGAACCTGGTTTTCTCTCTGGAGGCTCTGGGACCCCTCTGGCCCCAGGGCGCTGACCATTCTGGATGACCTGCCTCAGTGCAGCCTTTTCTTTAAAGTGCAGATGCAAGGCCAGAGCCAGAGGGGACCACTGGGGGCGTGGGGGGATACAGGGCACAGGCGTACAGGATGAGGGCAGGATGGCCGAACAGAACTGCTTGGTGGAAGGGGTGGAGATGGAGCTGAAACCTCCCAGGGAGAAAAAAGACAAAAACAGAAAGCCCAGAACTAGACGGTGCCTGGCTATCACCACCAACTACTCTGACAGGGATCGCAATAGAGGGTCCCGGACAGCCAAAGGTTAGACAGGCCTGTAAAACAGTAACACACGTGAGGAGCGTGCTTCTTAGTTCAATCAATTATACAAGACCAAATGGGCAACATCTGCCCAAAAGCAAAGACGAGAAGGCAGGAAAGGGCAGGAAAACTGGACAAATGGACGTGGGAACGCAGGGTGCAAAGGGGGAAGAGTGCGGACACACTGGGGGGATGGCAACCAATGTCCCAGTTTGTGTACAAATTTTCGAATGAGAAACTTATTTGCGCTGTGAACTTTCGCCTTTAGGTGAAAAAAAAAAAAAAGAGGAAAAAGTTAAGAAAATGTCATCAGTCCAGGCCCCGGAAAGAGCACAGAAAACCTTGAGAGGGAGCTCAGGGGCAGCCTTTGAGGTCAGACCAGTCTGGCAGGTTGAGGGGATGCCCTGCCTGCCCTGCTCCCTCCTCTTCCACGATGGGGTGGGGCAGAGCAGAGCCTTTGGTGGTGGGGGTGTGTATTCCAGAGCAGTCTCCTTCTGTGGAGATGGAGGGATCCATGTAAATAACCCTCTAAGTAGTCGAGGCAAATGTTGGGGAGCAGGCAGGGGACAAACAAGCACGGGGCAAGGGCAGAGTTTAGAAATGGTGAGTTTCTCCTTTCAAGAAACAGAAATGCCTACTTTCTAAAATTTGAATTTGCTCGTCCAGACAAAAAGTTTCAGGAAATCGAAGTTAACTCTGGGTGCAGAGGATGTGTGGGTGGAGCAAAGCTGACTTGGGGGGACATCAGGGAGATGGGGAAACATAAGGGAGGGCCAGTGAAAACTAGGAAGACCCTCAACAAGATGGACTGACACAGTGGCTGCAACAATGGGCTCAAGTCTAACAATGATTGTGAGGATGGCGCAGGACTGGGCAGTGTTTCGTTCTGTTTGTAGGCAGGATCACTGTGAGTGGAAAGCGACTCAATGGCACCGAGCAACAACAGGGGAGGTGTGGGGGTATGTGGGGGAGGTGCGGAGGGACATCAGGGAGGTGCAGGGGCATCAGGAAGGCCCTGGGGGCATTTCTGAAACAGGGCATGTGGAGGCACGGTGCGGGGGTGGTGGGGGGCAGACTGTGGCTCAGGGCTCGAAAGTCGAAAGCAAACCCCGAGTCTGTACCATTCATTTATTGTTTACATTGCATATTCAAACGAATACAATAAAGTTTTTTAAAAAAGTAAGGCACATGAAAAGCCTTATGTGCAAGTTCAGTATTACTTAAAATTCCTCTGGCTAAAACAGAGGTGTTTCCACTACAGACTGGAGACACCTGGGGAGCACGCTCTGCGTTCCTCTGTGCAGAGCCCTTGAAGCGTTACATGCCAGCGAATCAAATGCTTGTGTCTGATCATGATACAGCCACTGCTACAATCACAAAGCATTCATCGGCTTATCCACATATGTACATTTAGGTCCCCAACGCTAATTATATGCAATTAAACAGGAGCTGCATCTAGCTGCACGGAGCTCCTCGTGCTGAGTGACAGGGAGAGGTTTGGCGTGTCTATCGTCCTCCGAGGCCTGCTCCTCGCAGAGCCCGGGGTCATACGATGCTGAAGACCATGGACAGGTACTGCTCATAGGACACTTGGATCCAGCCATCCTGGTCAGTATCATAGCGCCGGAATATGTCTGTCAGTCTCTGGGGAAGACAAGCCAGGCATTAGATCCTGATATTTACCAAACAGCAGGCACAGAACGTTCTTGGTAAGAAGAGATGCGGGAGCCATTCTCGGAAGCTCTCCCTGGCAACAAACGATCACAGAGAACGCCCCTGGTTGGGGGTGGGGGGGGCCGGTGTTCCCCTGCTTTGGCTGCAGGTGACCACAGACATCCCCAGGGGCCAGGCCTGTCCACCAGGTGGACCCTGGGGGTGTGACCGTCTCCCTGGAGGTCAGGTGGAATGGGGGAGGGTAAGAGATCAGGAGGCGCATGTGGGTTGAGGCCCAGCTCAGCTACAGACCAGCCCTGGCCCCCAGCAGAGCCTTCCAGCCCTTCGTCCCAGTGGTCTCTCTGTTGTGGGCATGTGAGGACCTGCCAGAGTCTCCCTACCCCCACCCCCCACCCAGGCGGAGCAAATCTCCTGCACTAGGATGGGGGGGGTCTGTCCTGCACTGCCCGCCGCAGCCCCATCTATGACTCAAATGACCAGTCCAGGCAGTCAGAAGAGACAAGTGGGGGCACCTCCACACCCCCAACAGGGGCTGCCTCCAGGTGGCAGACACCATCAACCCTAAGGATGGCCGCAGAGTCTAAAGATCAGAGGACACGGGCACACACAGCTCCCGTGACACAGAAAACACGCTCGTCAGGCACCATGAGAGCGGCAGCCTGCAGAGGGACTGGAAGCAAGGCTGGCTGATGCCGCCTCTAAACCCCACCGCTGCCGCAGGCCCCCCCGCCACCAGCTAGTAACACCACCGCCGCCAACCCCACCACCGCTGCCTGATTCCATCACGCTGCAAATCCCAAAGTGATACCACTCCTGACACCCTCACAGTCCCCATGTCACTTCCTGTAGCCCCTGTAAGCCCAAAGAAGGAAGGCCTTCGCCTACCTGTAAGACGATGCAGCCTTGGATGAAGTCGTCAAAGGCAATCTGCCCTCTTCCCTGCCTGTCAAACTTCCGAATGAGGATATCGTGAAACTGGTCTGAGAGCCGGTACCCTTGCAGAAGGAAAGCAACGATCAAGAGTCAGGAAAGGCTGGACACTCGCCCCACACCCCGACTCCCTGCTGAAACACCCCACGAACCGCTAACGGCAAACAGGAAGGAAATAAACATGCAAGTTCATGAAACGGCACGGACAGCAAAGGAAGGCCCCCAAAGGGATCGTCGTAAGTCCGTCTACGCCCCCAGCACCACGCAGTGACTGGATGACCAGCACCACCATCCTGACCTCAGCAGAGGCGTGGCAGCCCTTGCTGTGCTGGAAGCTGATGGCTGTTCTACATGAACCCCCGGATCTGCGGCCACTGATAGCACCAGTATATGGCGCTGCGCCCACAGAAATCCCACCTCCCAGGGGGCAAATTCAGCTTCTGGGGCCCAGGGGAGTTGCCATCATGAACAGCCCCTTAGTGATGAATTGTACGCCGTTTATTAACCTAGACGGGGACATTCTGAGTCCTCCAGCTGCTGGGATCCTCCTTACCAGAGATGCTTTGAAAGACAAGGTTCAAGTTACCCAAAGTGTAAAATGCACAACAGGAGATGGGAGACTGATGGGCATGCCCCCACGCAAGATGACAGGGCACGTCGAGGTCACCAAGGGCCACCCAGGACCACGGCAGAGTCACCAACTCCATTTTCCAAGGACTGAGTCCTGCTGGGAAAGGTGTCCTCCAGAGACATCACTGTCAGCAGACGGCCAGGTCTCCTGGTCTCAGACGCTCGTCTGTGGTTCTCGGCTGCCGGTGGGGACCCGTGCAGATGCTCAAGGGCAGCAGCTTTGTTGAGACGAGGTCCCTCCCCTCTCCTCCCTCCTACAGCTACGCTGTGTGACCTTGACGTCTTACTTATTCAAGAGATGAGATCCAGGAGCCAAAATGTTTTTGCTGCTTTTTCAGAGGCTTGTTGGAATCTTTGCAAGGAATGTAACCTACTGTCTGGGTGAATTTCACAGTTATTACCTGCATGATCAATCACCCTACCAATACGAGTCAAACACACACATTACATAGTGCCTTCCAGACAGGCCTGGGCCACACCCCATAAATTCAGGGGTTCCACTTCCTGAAAGCTGACACAGGACCCGTCCCTGGGTCAGAAGGAGCCAGCAGAACTGTGAGTGGGCCTCTGTGTGCGGGTAGGCGGGGCTGGCTCAGGTGCCGGGCACGGACAGACGCACAGACATTAGATCCAGATAAGAGAAGCAGCATCCACCACCCGGACTTAATTTCCACTTTACCGGGTCCCCGTGTTAATATAGAAGAACAAAACAAAGAAGTCAGACTAGAAAGATGAATTTGAGACAAACGAACTACAACAGAAGAACCTGAGGGAAGGCCTGGGCACCTGTCTCAGCCTCCTCTGATGAAGGCACTCGTCTAACAGGGTGGGGGGCCTGTGAGGCTGGGAAGTACCGCCCACATCGTTTGCACCCGCGTTTGCACAGTGAGTCCCAAGGGCACCAGGCCTCACAACGTGAGAAAATGCCAAAGCTTCAGACATGGGAAGCTGTTACCCGTCTAGAAAGTCACAGAAGCCAAGTTTACCCCAAAATCAGATACAGCCTGGCTCCCCTGCAGCAGGTAGGTCCCCCTAAACTCTCCCGCCCAACCACACTCTGGTTCCCACTCCTGCCTCACTCCAGACCAGTGATGGCCCTCTGGCCCCAGAAGCACTCCAGGGGCTGCAATTCTTCACCCCCACCCCCGCCCCCGCACTAGCCCTGCTCTTGCCTCTCGCAGGGGAGGAGCTGGGCGACGGCAGGGGAGGAGCTGGCCGAGGGCCCCCCCCTCCATATAAGAGCAGGGCAATGACAGGGGAGGAGCTGGCCAAGGGCCCTCCCCCAGATAAGGACAGGGTGAGCTCAGCTGCACCCCAAGCTCCAGCCAGAGGCCACGAAGTCAGCCTCTGGCCCAAACCCCGGCGCACACCAGTGCGCTGAGAACCCCTGCCCATGGGACCCCAGCGCCTCCACCTGAAGCAGTGCAGGGGCTCACGGGGCAGGAAAGGAGGAGGAGACAGCCTGAAACCCCGTGCAAGGAAGCCAAGGAGGGAAGGAGCCACCTAACACCATGAAAACTGTGAGGGACTCCACGTTAATAAAACTCAAAACCTCAAGTCTCCAGACTATACTCCGTTATAATCTCACTTTTCTTATTTTTTTTTTTATAAAAGGCCTTTTCAGGAAAACACTGACGAGGTTAAATCCGGGGCCTGGTGAGAGCCCTGAGGAAACTTACCACAAGTAAGTCAGAACTGGGGTGCACTCACTGAAAGACCTGGACAAGTCTTGGGGCACCTCAGCTTTGCCTTGCAAATAAAAACCACGCCTGCCTCCCAAAGCCCTAAGACCCCAGAATTAGCGTTGGAAACAGCGGTTTGCTCTGGAGAGGCACTATGTAAGCACTTGAGCACACACCGTTCATGCAGTCGGGCCTGGCGCGTGTGCACACTCAGTCAAGCCTGGCAAGCGTACACACGGGCGCGCACACTCGGGCCTGGCACGTGCACACGCACCTGGGCTGGCACGCATACACACGCGTGTGCATGCATGGCGCACGGTCACTTGAGAATGGGGGAGTGCTCTTTCCTTCTGTAAGGCTCAATCTTGGTCATGATTTGTACTGACCAAGAATCAGACCTATAACTTACAGAACTTCTTTTTATGGTTATTTTACCATCATCTCCAGAGAAGTAATTTGGTATATCATGAACTATCAAGCTGCCCGTACTCATTTTAAATTGTTTCAGAAGCCACATTCTCAATTTTGTTCGTGACACTCCATTTCACAAAAGATGGAAGACCTGCATAGCCCTTATCTCATTTTGGATGAAAACTACATAAAAATTTCCGTATCAAATGTGGCCAAAACCTGTTGCCACTGAGTCCATTCTGACTCACAGGGATCCTGTAGGACAGAGGAGAACTACCCCATACCGTTTCCAAGGCTGTAGTCTTTACGGGAGCAGACTGCCACATCTGTCTCCTCCTGAGTGGCTGGTGGGTTCGAACCTCTTTTAGTTATTAGCACCTGAGCGCTTAACCACTGCGCCACCAGGGCTCCTATATCAAATATGAGCCTTCACAGCATAAACAATCATCACTTCAAGTATAAGCCTATGTGATGTAAACACAAGTTCTACATGGGCTCAGTTAAAAAACTAGTAAGTTGAACAAAGTAATAAAATGTCTGCTGATGCTTGGGTTCCAAAATGAAATATGCTATGCAGTCAAGACAAGTGAATTACCAAAACCTGACAGTGCTTGCTTGAGCTCGTTCTTGTCGATCATCCCAGAGTTGTCCCTGTCGTAGGTGCGGAAGACGTTCTGCCAGTCTGTGATGTACTTCCAGACGCCGGTGAACTCGCTGAAGTTCACGCCGGCCTTGTTCTCTCGGTCAAACATGGCTGAAAGAGACAGAACGCGGTCAAGGCATGTCACGTTCGGACTCAACTTGAGGCAGCAAGGGACTTGATCACAGCGTGGTCACCCTGAAGCTTCCCCTCCAGCCCGAGCCCCTGGGCAGCCCAGCAAGGTGGGTGGCCCAGGCGACCGCTAGGTAAGTACTGGTTGACGGTTAAACAGGACGTTACTAACAGTGCAATTCTGACTGCAGAGAGGAAAGTGCCCAGCAAAGCCACCGGAAGAACAATAATGAAGACAAACCACCACCTCACATGGACCGCGGACACAGGCCGGAGGAGCGCGCCCCGGACCGCGGACACAGGCCGGAGGAGCGCGCGCCGGACCGCGGACACACGCCGGAGGAGCGGGCGCCGGACCGCGGACACACGCCGGAGGAGTGGACGCTGCTCCTTTCTACAGTGGACGCAGTTGCGGGGAGGTGACCAGCACTCTGGTCCCCCACGCACAAGGAAGCCACTTTAACTGAGAACAGGGCCCACCGTGCTTTGTCAGCTGTCACTTCAACTACAGAACAGGCCCCACTACTCCCTCACCATCTCTAGATTTTTATTTTTTTTTTAATTACGACCTTTCATGGAGAGAAAAAAATCAGTCTAACTCGAGGTCCAAATTCAAATACAAATGTAATTGCAAACTGCCTAAAAAATACATAAAAATTCAGACTACATTACTGCTGCAGAGAAAATAATACATAATCTGGCTGCTTCTCAGGTGCAGAGGTTAGTTTAAGGCTGACAAAGTCCTTTTGCTTTGGTCGGAAGCACATTACACATCAATGAGAAATCTCACGAGAACCTGACTCTGTTTCCTCCAGTCGGGCACCACACTGGGGTCCAGGACTGGTTTTCACATCGCTGTTCTGCGACGTGGGCGCCCGTGGGATGCGAGCACGCGAGATACAGGAGCACATGGGACACAGGAGCATGCAGGACATGAGAGACAATGGGATGTTAGCACCCAGCAAGCGGGCACATGGGGGATGTGGGAGCACTGAGCATACAGGACGTGGGAGCACGCAGGACGTGGGAGAAAATGGGATGTTAGCACCCGGCAAGTGGGCGCATGGGGGATGCAGGAGCACTGAGCATGCAGGATATGGGAGCACACAGGACATGGGAGAAAATGGGATGTTAGCACCCAGCAAAGCAAGAGCACGGGGAATGTGGGACACGGGACACGGGAGAAAATGGGATGTTAGCACCCAGCAAGCGGGCACACGGGGGATGTGGGAGCACTGAGCATACAGGACGTGGGAGCACACAGGACGTGCGAGAAAATGGGATGTTTGCACCCAGCAAGTGGGCACACGGGGGATGCGGGAGCATTGACCATACAGGACATTGGTGTCCACAGGACAGGCAGGGGCTGCAGGACACACTGTGCTCCTCTGGTCACTTGTACACGTGGCCAGTGCTGACGAAGCCGCAGGGGTGGCAGAAGGGGCAGAGGCACAGGGTTCCAGGTGCTTCTACCACCAGGGAGGTGTGCGGCAGCCCCTCCTCAGGACCCTACATCTTCAACGTCCTTCCTAGCGTTAAGGGCCAAGTCCCTGTCACTGCCCCAGGCGTAAGTTACCCTGATGACTCTTTACCTCCTGATTAATGTGATGCAGCTACGAAGAGCTACACGTGAGACAAGGGCAGTAAGACTGAAAGAAAGGAGCCCTGGGGGTGCAGCGGTTAATGCAACTGGCTGCTAATTGCAAGGCTGGTGGTTTGAACCCACCAGCCACTTGGCAGTAGAAAGACAAAGCAGTCAGCTCTTGTAAAGATTAAAGCCTTGGAAACCCTATGGAGCAGTTCTACTCTGTCCTATAGGGTTGCTATGAGTTGACGAGGCACTAGTGGGGCCTGCTGTCTAAAGCAGAAACAAACAGCAACAGGTTTGTTGGAAGGCTGGGAGATCACCTAAAAGGAGCCCTCCCTCCTACTACCTTACCGCTAGAACTCAGATTCTATCAAAAGCCCTTTGTAATACATGGCTGGGCTCCCAAAGAAAGGGGAGTCATCATAAGAAAAAAAGTTAGCAGAACCAGGAAGAGAACAGTACTCTGGGAGACAGCAAACCAAGGGACTGCAGCCATCGGAGACCAAACCAACGAAGGGACCGTGGCCACTGGAGACCAAACCAAACCAAACCAAGGGACTGCAGCCATTGGAGACCAAGCCAAACCAAGGGACTGCGGCCATCAGAGACCAAACCAAATGAAGGGACCGCGGCCATTGGAGACCAAACCAAACCAAGGGATCGCGGCTATTGTAGACCAAACCAAACCAAGGGATCGCGGCCATCGGAGACCAAGCCAAACCAAGGGACCGCAGCCATCGGAGACTAAGCCAAACTAAGGAACCACAGCCATCAGAGACCAAGCCAAACCAAGGGACTGCAGCCACTGGAGACCAAGCCAAACTAAGAGGACCACAGACATCGGAGACCAAGCCAAACTAAGGAACCACGGCCATCGGAGACCAAGCCAAACCAAGGGAACACGGCCAATGGAGACCAAGCCTCGTCCCCTGTGAGGAAGGAGAACTGAAAACAAGATCCTCTATTAAAGTGGTCCCTGAAGGGCGGTACATCTTTGGAAGGATCAATGAGAAATCCACCTTCCAGCAAAGGAAGTCTTCTAGAAATCAAAGGAGGGGTGATTAATACAATAAACCTTTCCTAAAACTATGCACCACCACTCACCTGTCAGTTTGTTGTACGGTGGTGGGTTTCGTGTGGCTGTGATGCTGGAAGCTATGCCACCAGTATTTCAAATACCAGAGGGTCACCCATGCTGGACAGGTTTCAGTGGAGCTTCCAGACCAAGACAGACTAGGAAGAAGGACCTGGTGGTATACTTCTGAAAAAGTTGGCCAGTGAAAACCTTATGAACAGCAGTAGAACGTTCTCTGATACAGTGTCAGAAAATGAACCCCTCAAGTTGGAAGACACTCAAAATACAACTGGGGAAGAGCTGCCTCCTTAAAGTAGAGTCAACCTTAACGATGTTAATGAAGTCAAGTTTTTGGGACCTTCATCTGCCAATGTGGCACAACTCAAAGCGAGAAGAAACAGCTACAAACATCCATTAATAATCAGAACATAAAATGTATGAAGCATGAATCTAGGACACTGGAAATCATCAAAAATGAAACAATGCATAAACATCAATATCCTCGGCATTAGTGAGCTGAAATGGACTAGTATTGGCCATTCTCAGTCGGACAATCATATGGTCTACTATGCTGGAAATGACAACTTGAAGAGGGATGGGGTTGCGCTCATCATCAAAAAGAACATTTCAAGATCCATCTTGAAGTACAATGCTGTTAGTGATAGGATAATATCCATACACCTACAAAGAAGACCAGATAATTATTCAAATTTACACACCAATCACTAGGACCAAAGACAAGAGAAGTTGAAGATTTTTACCAACTTCTGCAGTCTGATATTGAGCAAACATGCAATCAAAATGCATTGATAATTACTGGTGACTGGAATGCAAAAGTTGGAAACAAAGAAGGATCAATAGTTGGAAAATATGGCCTTGGTGACAGACATGACGCTGGAGATCACAAGATAGAATTTTACAAGACCAATGACTTCTTCAGTGCAAATATCTTTTTTCAACAACATAAACAGAGATGGAATACAGAGCAATCAAATCAGCTGAATCTGTGGAAAGAGACGATGCAGAAGCTCAATATTATTAGTCAGAATAAGGCCAGGGGTTGACTGCGGAACAAATCATCAACTGCTCATATGCACGTTCAAGCTGAAGGTGAAGAAAATTAGAACAAGTCCATGAGAGCCAAAGTACGACCTTGAGTATATCCCACATGAATTTAGAGACTGCTTCAAGGATAGATTTGATGCACTGAACACTAATGACCGAAGAGCAGACAAGCTGTGGAATGACATCAAGGACATCATACATGAAGAAAGCAAAGGGCCATTAAAAAGACAAGAAAGAAAGAGAAAACCAAACTGGAGGTCAGAAGAGATTCTGAAACTTGCTCTTGAACACTGAGTAGCTAAAGCAAAAGGAAGAAGTAATGAAGTAAAAGAGTTGCACAGAAGATTTCAAAGGGCCACTCAAGAAGACAAAGTATTATAATGAAACGTGCGAAGACCTGGAGATAGAAAACCAAAAGGAAAGAACACGCTCAGCACTTCTCAAGCTGAAAGAACTGAAGAAAAAATTCAAGCCTCCAGTTGCAATTTTGAAGGATTCTATGGGGAAAATATTACATGACACAGGAAGCATCAAAAGAAGATAGAATTAATACACAGAGTCGCTGTACCAAAAAGAACTGGTCGACATTTAACCATTTCAAAAGGTAGCATATGATCAGGAACCGATGGTACTGAAGGAGGAAGTCCAAGCTGCACTGAAGACACTGGTGAAAAACAAGACTCCAGGAACTGACAGAATATCAATTGAGATGTTTCAACAAATGGATGCAGCACTGGAGGTGCTCACTCATCTTTGCCAAGAAATTTGAAAGACAGCTACCTGGACAACCAACTGGAAGAGATCCATATTTGTGCCTATTCCAAAGAAAGAAGATCCAACAGAATGTGGAAATTATCAAACAATATCATTAATATCACATGCAAGTAAAATTTTGCTGAAGATCATTCAAAATTGGTTGCAGCAATACATCAATAAGGAACTGCCAGAAATTCAAGCCAGATACAGAAGAGGACGTGGCACAAAGGGTATCATTGCTGATGTCAGATGGATCCTGGCTGAAAGCAGAGAATACCAGAAAGATGTTTACCTATGCTTTACTGACTACACAAAGGCATTTGACTGTGTGGATCATAACAAATTATGGATAACGTTGAGAAGAACTGGAATTCCAGAACACTTAATTGTGCTCGTTAGGAACCTGTACACAGACCAAGAGGCACTCATTCAAACACAGCAAGGGGATACTGCATGGTTTAGAATCAAGAAGGTGTGGATCAGGGTTGTATCCTTTCACCATACTTGTTCAACCTGTATGCTGAGCAAATAATCTGAGAAGATGGACTACAGGAAGAAGAACGGGCCATCAGGATTAGAGGAAGACTCAGTAACAACTTGCATTATGCAGATGGCACAACCCTGCTTGCTGAAAGCGAAGACAACTTGAAGCACTTATTGATGAAGTTCCAAGACTACAGCCTTCAGTATGGATTACACCTTGTCATGGATTTAATTGTCTCCCCAAAATATGAGTATCAATTTAGCTAGGTCATGATTCCCAGCATTGTATGATTATCTACCATTCTGTCATCTGATGTGATTTCCCTAAGTGTGGTAAATGCTCTCACTAGGATGTTAATGAGATGGATTAGTGGCAGTTACACTGATGAGATCTACAAGGTTAGACAGTGTCTTAAAGCAATCTCTTTTGAGATATAAAGGAGAGAAAGGAGCACAGAGATAGGGGGACCTCATACCACCAAGAAGGAAGCCTTGGGAGCAGGGCACGTCCTCTGGACCTCAGGTTCCTGAGCTGAGATGCTCCCAGACCAAGGGAAGACTGATGCATCACAAGGACCTTCCTCTAGAGCTGACAGAGAGAGAAAGCCTTCCCCTGGAGCCGGCGCCCTGAGTTTGGACTTCTAGCCTACTGGACTGTGAGAGAATAAACTTCTCTTTGTTAAAGCCATCCACTTTTGGTATTTCTGTTATAGCAGCACTAGATGACTAAGACACACCTCAATATAAAGACAACAAAATTCCTCACAACTGGACCAATAAGCAACATTATGATAAATGGAGAAAAGACTGAAGTCGTCAAGGATTTCATTTTACTTGAACCCACAATCAACGACCATGGAAGTAGCAGTCAAGAAATCAAGCGATGCATTACACTGGGCAAATCTGCTGCAAAAGACCTCTCTGTAAAGTGTTAAAAAGTAAAGATGTCATTTTGAGGACTAAGGTGCACCTGACTCAAGCTATGGTATTTTCAATCGCCTCATATGCTTGCTAAAGGTGGACAATGAATAAAGAAGACCAAAGAAGAATTGATGCCTTTGAATAATGGTGTTGGCGAAGAATACTGAATATACCATGGATGGTCAAAAGAATGAACAAATCTGTCTTGAAGAAGTACAGCCAGAATGCTCCTTTGTCTCACACAGTTTGGACACGGTATCAGTAAGGATCAGTCCCTGGAGAAGGACATCATGCTTGGTAAAGTAGAGGGTCAACAAAAAAGAGGTAAGACCCTCAATGAGATGGACTGACACAGTGCATGCAAAACTGGGCTCAAGCATAACAACGATTATGAGGATGGCTCAGGACCAGGCAGTGTTTCATTCTGTTGTACATAGGGTCGCTATGAGTCAGAACCAACTCAACGGCACCTAACAAAAAGACTATGCAGCCACAGGCCTGTCCTGTCTTGGATCTGAGTTCAAACCCGTGTTTCTGATGCAGTAAACGAAACCCAAACTGAAAAACCAACGTGGTCCCAGGTTGGTTACATCTGGCCCTAGCAGAAATAAACGCAAATCCCCTCTGGAGGACACACTTGCCATTCAGGCCATGAGATTTGCACGTATTGAGTTCAACCAAACATGAACCCAGAAAAGAAGCCAATAAAACGAACAAGACTTCAGGGAAATCAGCCATCGTGAATGAGCATCAGCAGAAACAATGCTCAGATTTAGACCACCCCCAAGGTCTTCACATACTCACCAGAAATGTAACAGGAAGTAACTATATATGTATTACACTTCAATAAAGCATTTACTTAAAAATGTAAAAGACTACCATATAAAATACTTGAACAAGAGACACTATTACAAAAATTAACATGTAGTAAGAGACTATTAAAAAATAGATAAAACTTTAAATATAATGAAATAATAATTTAGAAATTAAATACAAGTGTATACATAATGTTTAGAATTAGACGTTGAAAGGATGGGCTTAACAGTAGATTAACACTAGATAAAGAATTAATGAAAGCACACCTACACAGCGAGACACTGGTAAAGAGTTAATGAAAGCAGACCTACACAGTGAGATAAGAAGAGGTGAAGAGACAGGGAGGGCAGAATAAAAAGGTCCAACATCCATCTAATTGGAGCTCCATGAGAGAATAAGATATAAAGCCACAGACATAGAAAGCACAACCTATATCCAATTAGGACAGACAGAAAGAAACCCACACATCTGCCTGCACAGGCAGAACAACACTATATTTACTTACATATGATTGACCTGACAGTCACTGGATTAAATGGAGTCCATGTACCTGAAAACAAACAACAGGAATTAAACTTACAGAAAAGTATTTTTAGAGGAAACAGAAAAATTCCTGATCTATAATACTATAGCACAATGAAAGTGAAGACCCTCAAACAGTGGTTCTCAACAGGGTAGTGCAGCTCCCCAGCATCAGTCTAGACATTTTTGGAAGTATTTTGGTCATCAAGACCATTGAGAGGAGCCATGAGCATTCAGGGGTCTGGGCCCAGTCCTGCAGTGTGTAGGAGTCCCTCTGTTTATAATTACCTGAACCTGGAAACTCACTCTTATTTTATATATAACCAAAAAATGGCTTTATGTTATTTTAATATACCCGGAATTTTCCAGGAATGCAGCCACCAGGAAACTTGAGAGGACTGCACTTAGTTTGTTAGGAACTTTGCTAAGTTATTCACCATCTCAGAAAATCCTATCACCAAGAACACTCAATACAACACACCTGGAAAAGTACACCTTTATAGTCACTGCATCCTATGAGTCTACATATAGGTGCAAGCATCGTATGACTTCATTAATCATGCCTAGGCATATAAAGCATATTCAAAAACATACTATGAACTCATACCTTAAAAATTCCTCCTAAGACTGCAGTTTGGGCATTATGCTATTTTCCTCGAAATTGTAAATAGGTAGGCTACATCATCGATCATTCATTCCAGAATAGTAACGGGGATGTTAGAAAGAGGATGTTGAAACTGACAGACTTCAGAATTGTGTGAGCCATTTATCAACTGTGATGGTGAAATGTTCTTCACCAGACATCTTATGCCCAGGAACCTATTTCCAGAGTGATTTGTACCTTTATTTTTTATACCCATTAATATCAAACTATAAAATATTTGTTACGTGTGGGGGGGTGAAGGCAGAAGCAGCGTCTTCTCCCACCCTACCCCTAATGTATATAAAAACATATCATTTATTTTTCTATATACAAAATTGTTTCAGGCACGAACCATTCAGTTCTGGATGGCATACAGTAATGTAGTCGTCTGACGGCACATAAGGTAGTGATTTTATGCTCACATTTACAATAAAGCAGTTCCTACTTGGAACATGGGTAGCAGCAGATGGTGTGAAGGGTACCAACACTTCATGGCCCCCAAAGCCCTCCCTCTGGTCGCTCTGGGCCTCATGGGGCTCCTTCCCGAGCCACACTGGCTCAGCTCTGGGCTTCAACACGCACTGTTTCTCAACCTCAAGTGTGACCGCTCCAAACACACACACCCTTCTCCCCATCTCCTACTTCCCCTCTACGTCTCAGGTAGAATATTCAGCCACCACATTTCTTCAGCCCACAAGTTAAATCCATTTGCTCTACAAGAGCACCTCCTAACTTCTCTGGAGCATCCCCCTCCTGTGATTACTCAGTTAAGGTTTGCTCTTCCCACTAGTGGACCAACTCCACCCTGGCCTGCGCCCAGCAGAGCCTGGCACACCCCAGTGCACAACAGGTGCTTGTTGAACTGAAGAGATTTACAGCTCACGGGAATATCTTTGTACAGATTAGGGGAAGAATGGGCAAGAGTATGTATATAAAGGCATTAGGAAAAATCAGTACTATTGAAAACTAGTATTGTAAAAAGAAAAATATGTCACAGAGAACCCACAAGGCGAAGAATGAGAAAACTTCTAAACACGGAAGAACATCATTTGTTCACCCAGCTCCTCCTGATCTTCCCCTGACCTCAGCTGCTGCACAACTGAACCAGCAGTTGGCACTAAGACGAGCCTCCTCTGACCCACCACTGGGAAGAAGCTCTAGGAGCTAGGCCCACCTGTTCTAGTTCTTTTCCTGCTTCAGAGCAACCCATCTCTGGTGCCAACTTTTCCTCTACAGCAGCTGCCACCTGTCTCTGGTTTTCCTGAAACAATCCTCTTTTTGTCTTCTCTCCACCTCTGCTACAGGTTGAAACACCACTTTGGGGGCGGGGGGGGTGTTATGGACTGAATTTCAAATTCAAGCTGAAAGAACTGAAGAAAAAATTCAAGCCTGGGGTTGAAATATTGAAGGATTCTACAGGGAAAATATTAGACAATGCAGGAAGCATCAAAAGAAGACGGAAGAAATACACACAGTCAATATACCAAAAAGAATTGGTCGACATTCAACCATTTCAGGAGGTAGCATATGATCAGGAACCAATGGTACTGAAGGAAGAAGTCCAAGCTGCACTGAAGGCACTGGTGAAAAACAAGGCTCCAGGAATTGAGGGAATACCAACTGAGATGTTTCAACAAACGAATATAGTGCTGGGAAGTGCTCACCCGTCCATGTCAAGAAATTTGGAAGACAGTTACCTGGCCAACCGACTGGAGGAGATCCGTATTTATGCTTATTCCTAAGAAAGATGATCAAACTGAATGTGGAAATTATCAAACAGTATCATTAATATCATACACAAGTAAAATTTTGCTGAAGGTCATTCAAAAGTGGGTGCAGCAGTATTTCAAAAGGGAATGTCCAGAAATTCAAGCCAGATTCAGAAGAGGACGTGCTGATATCAGATAGATTCTGGCTGAAAACAGAGAATACCAGAAAGATGTTTACTTGTGTTTTACTGACTATGCAAAGGCATTCGATTGTGCGGATCATAACAAATTATAGATAACACTGCAAAGAATGGGAATTCCAGAACACTTAACTGTGCTCATTAGGAACCTGTACATAGATCAAGAGGCAGTCATTTGAACAGAACAAGGGGATACTGCATGGTTTAAAGTTAGGAAAGGTGTGCATCAGGGTTGTAACCTCTCGGCATAGTTAGTCAATCTGTATGCTGAGCAAGTAATCCCAGAAGCTGGACTATATGAAGAAGAACGCGGAATCGAGACTGAAAAAGACTCAATAAGAACCTGTGTTATGCAGATGACACAACCTTGCCTGCTGAAAGTGAAGAGGACTTAAAAGCACTTACTGATGAAGATCAAAGACCACAGACTTCAGTATGGATTACACCTCAACATAAAGAAAACAAAAATCCTCACAACTGGACCAAGAAGCAACATCATGATAAAAGGAGAAAAGACTGAAGTTGTCAAGGATTTCCTTTTGCTTGGATCCACAATCAACACCTATGGAAGCAGCAGTCAAGAATCAAAAGACACATTGCATTGGGCAAATCTGCTGCAAAAGACCTCTTTAAAGTGTTGAAAAGCA